CTGCATCTAGCTTTCTTTGCGGTCGGACCTTTACTATTTCGCTCATGTCACATCTCGTTTGCACCGAGTGCAGTTCAGAAGTTACTGCTACCAAACTTCTATGCCTTCTGTGCCTACCACACCGCCTGGGTAGATTTGCACCTGGAGGCTATAAAATTACTTATTAACATTCCGAACTTAATGTGGCAGTGTGATAACTCCGTCATTGGAAATGATTTGCATTCCAAAATTGATTAACTTAATCATAAGGTTCTGTATCTAGAATCCTTTTTAGAAAGCCTTAAAGCCAAAGTGGATCATGCTCTAATAAATGGAGCGGCTGAACTCGCTGGGCCCGATGTCTCTACTGCTGGCATTTTGTTGCTCCCTCTTCTACTCCTAGCAGCACTGGGAGCAAAAAGGCTACAATGGGACAGCCCCAAACGGTGGCTGTCCAACAACAGCGAGCAGCCCAGAAGACTAAAAAGGACACACCCGCTGGACCTCCCCTTACTACTCTAATTTATTTCTACCATATTAATATTTAAAATTATCTATAAGTGAAGTTTATGTGATAACATTTAATGGTTGTTCCTAATGGACAGTTTTAAATAAACGTTACCCTGCTATTACAAAAAATAACTTAGTGCTGGGCTTTATGAAGAGGCACCAGGAACAATTCAATAGTCCACATTCGAGCCTCAGCGTCTACGTTGTATTTGTTCGGTCGAGGCAGGAATAGGCTTCGATCACCAGAAGACTTTCTTCGACTCCAGAAGAAATTTTTAAAATTTGAACTTCTGCCTCTAAGGATTCTGGATCCTCTATCTTTCGGATTAGGATCCTCTATCTCTATCTTCTATAGAGCCGCTGCCTTCTTCTCAATGTTTTCAATTTGGAGGATCGGCGTACTGTGGCAGCTTTAGCTTTTGTGAATAATGTAGTCGTTGATAACATTGATTGCCTTTTTTTCCTGGGACTTATTAATTTTAATGTTCCCTCGTACCTTTGCCCCCTTTTGGTTTAGGTGTCACATAATCTTCTAAATAAGCAGATTAAGCGGGCTTTTTCATATTTTAAGTGGGGCTCTGATAGGGGTGTTTCCAAAGGATTGATAATCAGGCACCTAGTATGTTTGTATTCGTATTGTATTATTATTTACTAGTTTGTAAGTTGTTATTATGCAACTATGTTAGGATTCATCCGTTGGCGGAAATAAACAAATAAATAAGGAAAACATTCATAGGGAACTTGGTATCCTCGCAGTAAAAGACGAACTTGAGAAAAAATTGATACTTTATCAAGCAAATAAAAATATCTCCCAATGGGTAAAATTCCGCCTCGCTCGCGGATTGAATCATGTTTCAAGCAGAATCATCGATGCTAAGAATTTCCAAGTGTTAAAGAACATCTAACTTTGTGCCAGACAACACGACTGTTAGCTATGTCACGATTGTAAGATTTAATCAACTTATTGTTAGACTCGAGTAAAGAGTAAATAAGTATAATAATAAAATTCAATACGTAACAGAAAGAAAAAAAATTGGCAAAAATAAAAATGGCCAACACTCTATACGTACATACCGATATATGTATATTTTTCGTGAAGGTGTTCTCCAGATTCAATATAATTTTCTGACCCAGCTTAATTGACGAATTGGCTAAACTTAATTTTAAATTTATTTAGCGTAGGCTTATCTTCTCGGCTGTTCTTGCTCTTCTTCCTTTTAATAGTGTTGATAATAGGGATTGACTGTGCAGTCAAGCACATCGAACTAGTTCAATAGTTCGGTCGAGATCGATAACTTTTCTAATAACATTGTTTCCGATAACGTTGGTTTACAAACTGAACTTAGCTGCTACTAATATGCTTCAACCAACCTATTAGGATATATCGTAGACCCATAAGTCTCCTAGGGAAAATCCTCAAGATAATCATCGTTGACGCCATCAAAGCCGTGACCGATACGGCGGAAGCTGCCATCGCTGAAATTGATCTTGAATCAATCCGTGATCTCGGATTGCGCATATTCGTTTAATCATAGCATAAACGTTGTTATTGACTGTTTGGCAATTGTTTGCGATCCCACTAATTATTTGAATCACCTTGGTTCCTGATAACTGTAGTCGCTTAGCAGTTTCTTCCGTAATAAGATTGACTTTCGAGCCTGAATCAAGAAGTGCTTGGACTACCTGGAATCGTCATGATCCATCCAGAATGTGAACTAGAACAGTGAGTACGAGTCTCATTTTGAATAAGTAACCCTTTGTAACAGCAGCTGTGGTGAAGCTGAACGTCTCTTGACGTTGATGCATGTGATGTGCAGCGCTGCTTATGCTGACATTGTAGAAGTGAAGAAGAGCTGATTGGAAAATCTTACACCGCGACGTACATCGTACGATCTTACATCGTACCTAAGCAGCTAAATCAAGGTGCTGCAATTTCACAGACTAAGTTTTGAATTTTCAAACTCACAGACTGAGTTTTAAATGTTCGTCAGTAGTAGTGCGTGACCTTACTTCGGAAAACTCGAATATTCGTCCCAGTTAGGGTCATTCAAACGTCCCAGTCAAACGAATGGTTTTCGTCGTATCGCTACAGCGTCTCATTATCTTATGTCAGAGGTCGGCACGGCCCTATCCCGAGGGCATAGGAAATTTCTCTGCCCGAGCTCTGCCACACACAAACAGTGTAAATGGGTGAAACGTCATGCTCACAGCCTAATTTCTGCTATTCGGAACGAACACTAATGCGTATACTGTCTTATGTTATTAGGAGAATATTAAGATAGACAATATGCACCATTGGTTGTGAACCAAATTGGTGAACGCGGCCTTGAAGGGCTTAATTTTGAGTATTTACCATCGAACTGTGGCAACTTTTGATTTGGTAGTCGAGATGAATGTATTGTAGCTATCGAGTTCAGAAAACTGGCGTTTGCTGAGCTTTATTGTGCTTTTGGCTGTTGCAAAGATGTTTTCTATTTGGATTCTTTCATCATCTGTGTAGATTCTAGAGCTTAGAGTAGAAGTTAAGTAAAGAAGGGAATTCCACTGAACGGGTAGCGGCAGAAACGTTTGAAACCTTCGTGAAATTAGGTTTTGCCCAATCTCCGCTACTTCAATGGCTAATTGCTGACCATTTTGAACGATAGATTGCACTAACGCCACAGGTTATGTGGAAGTATTCTGTAGATCGACGAATTGGATAAACTCCATTTTAACTTTAATTTAGCGTAGGATTATCTTCTTGTCCGTTGCTCTTGTTGTTGCTGTCTGTACTTTAATGCTTTTTCATAATAAAGATAAAAGCAATCGATAACTATTCTTATAATATTCTTACGTTTGTTTACAAACTGAACTTAACTACTACTACTACTACATTTTTATACCTTGCAGAGGGTATGAAAATTTTGTCCAAAAGTGTGCAACGCAGTGAAGGAGACATCCCCTACCGTATAAAGTATATATAATCTTGATCAGGATCACCTCCTGAGTTGATATGAGCATGACCGTCTGTCTGTTTCTACGCAAACTAGTCTATCAGTTTTAAAGCTATTGACTTTGCATGAAACTTTGAAACTTTGCACACCCTTCTTTTTTTTGCACTATATCCTATAGCTGCCATATAACTGAATGATCGGAAATGGTATAACTTTGGTTTTTTTTAGAGTTAGAGAGTTCAAATTTTACACGCTATTTTTGGCAAAATAATACTACATGCCAAAGTTCATAACGATCGGTCGACTATATCTTATAACTGCCATATAACTAAGCGATCGGAAATGGTATTTAGTAGAAATACTAACTTTGGTATTTTTGAAAATAGAAGCTTGGAACGTTTTTTTAAGATATTTTATTGGTTGGTTTTATTATGATATTCTCATATGGATCGATCCAACTATATCCGACTTATGCGATATATATCCGGTTTTAACTTCAAGGGTATATCAACTTCGGCTCCGCCCGAAGTTAGCTTTCCTTTCTTGTTTAAGGATGTAGTATATTTTGATAGTATTGTTTATTATGAATGTACTGTTAAAGTTTCAAATAAAAATATCAAATAATGACAGAGATACAGCCCATAATCGAGAGCGCGCCTACACCGAAAAGTATGAGTTTCTCGGTAGCGTCTAAACTTTAAACGCGTTTTTCTCGAAACGACATTTTTGTGTGCGGCGCAGGTGATTCACAAAATTCTATGGTACCGATCTAGCTGAAATTTGGATATGTTGTTCTAAAAAGTAACACATCTGTCCCGTACTAGAATCATTTATTTTTAATGATTAGTTTTTTTTTTATCATTAATTTAAGATAAATTTTTTTAATTTTTTTTAATTTTTTGTTTTGTGAGTTCGCCATTTTGTTGTTTATTGATGAAAATATTTCATTCTAGTACGGGACAGAGCCATTAGCTTACAAAACAATAATCTATTCTAATTTTATGTTTCGGATGACTCTAGCAGTCGAAATCACCTGCGCCAGGGACCTATCTTTTTTTTTTTATATGCATACTTTGGCATGCTATAAAGTGTATTAAACTACACAAGAATAAATTAAACAAAATATTTTCAAATAGTTTATGATGCTTATAAAAACATATTTGAAAATTGAAACGATCGCATTATTTTTTATTACAAAAAAAATTTTTTGAAATAACCTCTAAAAAGTAGGCCGGCACATGAGACTACATCCTTAAGATAGAAGCTTGGTGATTTTTTAAAAATAAATTGGTTATATTATGATATTCTCATAATGATCGGCCAACTAAATCCGATTTTTGCGATATATATTCGGTTTAAACTGCAAGGGTATATCAACTTTGGCTCCCACCGAAGTTAACTTTCCTTTCTTGTTTATTTATCTGATCATCAAAATACATCAATTTTATGACTTTAAACAAAGTCTGAAGTTAATACCTTTACTTTGTACACCATTGGAAATTATTTTACCAATTTCGAGTAAAAAAAGAAAATAATATTTAAATTTATTTATATATACAATAATTTGGTAAAGCTTACCTCCTTTAAGAGAAAACGATTCCTTTCTCTGAAGTGAGATTTTCGCATAGGGTACGTACTTGGAATACCAATAACAGAATGATCTCTTCCATTGGATAATATATAAGTCGATGGAATTTGAATACGAAATGGGTTATTTAAACGGTCACCACCATAGAATCCGGAAACACTACTTTTAATTTCTTTGTTAGCTTTTCTAGTTTTTATTTCAGGGGAAGGAAATTTGTCAATGCGCCGAGTGCTTGAAGGAGGCCGGAGAATGTTTGGACTACTTTTTGCTTTTGGAAGTTGCTGTTCGCTTAAAATATGCATACGATTAACACCACTATTATGGTTATTATTTTCATCTGGGCTTCGATTTTCATCCATTAAAACTGAGTCAGAGGAATCGGTCGATTTTGTGTAATAGGTAGACTTTACGCTAAAAAATTAAATTTTACTTAGAGGAACGTTTTAATTGGTCTAAAAAGTTTCTTACTTCTTTCCGTTAGCAATCTCCCTAAGAGCTGCGGCTCGTGCTGCTATCTCTTCATCTCTTCGTTGTTGAGTTAATTCTTTTGCTCTCTCAGTCCAAATAAGTTCTTTCAGTTTCTGAAAACTGCCTTGTACAGGAACGGAATTCTGGTTTTCTTTTATACTTGTTCCAGGTCCATTTGGTACTCCTATGTATCGATTTTTGCTAGATCTCCGCGAAGAATAAGCTCCATTTGGGGGTCTCATTTCTGATCCATAAAACCGCGTTTGACTTAAACCCGAGCTACCAAGCCCAAATTCAAAAGCTCTTTGATGCTGTTCAAATGGAATTCGTTGCGAAGCAGTTGGCTCTCGACTCACAACACGGCCAAATACAGGAGATTGGGCTCTTTCTCTAGAATTCATCCGAATTCTGCTTAAAATGAAAAATACTTTAATTAAACTCTATAATCGTTCGTGATAAGCATAATAGATTTGGAACCTAAATAAATAATAGCTATAATATTTATGGAAAATAGATTTATTCATAGTTATACATAGTGTCGCAATTCATGAAACTAATTAAATAAATAAAGGCCCAAGATTACACAAAAAGAACCCAAAATACTCGTTTACTACGGGATTTACGATATAAACGACTAAATCTTTATAAGAATGTATAGGTCGGATAAGTTGTAAAAAAAAAATGCACTGGAATGAACCAACACCTGAACTTTAGACACATCAAAGTTCCGATTCCGATCCATTGGTTAAAGGATAACTCCCCGAATCCACCATCCTCAGCTAAAGGATATAATCCTTTATGTCTTTATGTCTAATGTTCACATATATCTGGCGAAACTGCAATCGAGCTTCGCAAGCAAATCGCACTCTCGCATTTGTATAAGACGGACCGTTTTTATTGCCAATGTATATTTTTTTATAATTCTGCCTTAGTGCTGCCAACCCTTAGTATGTCCAACTGTTTATGAACTCTTTTAGCAAAAAAGTCTACTTCGACAAAATTGTACCTGTTTCTGCTGTAGTTTTAGGTTGAGTAATAGTTTTATTTAAGGATGTTTAATAGGAATCAGATTTAACACGTTGTTGGCGATAGAGGTGACAGAACAGAAGAGAGGCCTTAGAGGATATACTTATAAAATAACAATGCTCGCGATATATATTGGAAAGTGCTGCCAAATGTATTTCCAATACTTCCCCTCAATTGGTAAGCTGCTAATCGACTGGACATATACCCAAGGATGTCTTACAGGTGTTGTGTTTTCACGCCCCAAGTCCTTTTGTTAATATGTCTGCTGGCATCTTGGTCGTTGAGATGTAATTCACGGATATAGTTCCCTCTTCAACCAGCTCTCGGATGAAATGGTGGCGGATGTCAACATGCTTGGTGCGTTTGTGAAATACGGGGTTGCAAGCAAGTTGACCGGCTCCTTGATTGTCGTTGTGAATGACAGTTGTCTTCAGTTGCCCCAAAGCTTCGGTTAGGAAACTTCTAAGGTGAACCGCTTCTTTTGATGAGTCTGATAAGGCTATGTTATATTGGCTTAGTGCACTCACTGCGAATGCTATATCAGGGCGCGTTGATACTGCCAACCACATTAAGGCTCCTACCAAACTCTGATATGGCACACTAGAGATTTCTTCCTTTTCGCTTTCTGTGGTTGGACACATTTCTGTAGACAATTTTTCGCTTGTATTTATTGGAGTATTTACAGGCTTGCAGTTTTCCATGTTTAAACGTTTCAGGATGTCTGCTATATACTTTGGTTGGGCCATGGTGAACTCTGTCTTGTCTTCGCTCTGTTTAAATTCTATGCCCAAACAATACGAAAGCTTGCCCAAATCTTTCATCTGGAATTTGTTAGAAAATTCATACTTCAACTGCGAAAGCACTTAGACGTTATTGGTTGCTATTATACGGTCGTCTGCGTGAGGCGATACTATCAGGATTCCATTTCGTTCACGTTTTAAGTACACGCACTGATCGGCTTAAGGTTCAGTTCTTTGAGTTGGCAGTCTAGCTTTTTGTACCATTGACGACCGCTCTGCTTTAGACCAAATAGTGCCTTTTTTAGCTTGCAAACGTTCTCGGAGCCATACATCTTCTTATCAGTTGCTATCAATATTTCCTGGAACTCAAGTGGGACGCTGATATAAAGTTCTTCCTCGATGTCCCCATTTAAATAGGCGCTGTTGAAATCGAATTGGTGAAAATCCAATCCGAGTTCTGTGGCTAAAGCTATTAATGTCCTTATTAAGCTCATTCGGGATACTGGAGAAAAGATCTCGTCGTAATCAATACCTTAGCGTTGTGTAAATCCTTTTGCGACCAATCGAGCTTTTCGACAATTTATCTTTCCGTCGGGCGAATATTTTGTTCGTAGTATCCGTTGGATGTGACGATTCGGTCTGCAATTATTTGATTGTAAATTAACTTGGGCCTTCCTGGTTTACCTGTTAATATCATCTTTGGCCTTCCGCGTTAACGTTTCATCAATATTTCCGGTTCTGGTTGTTTATCATCTGGTTCAGGGTCCTCTGGCTTGGGATCTTCTGTTTGGCTGCCGTCATTGTCATCTGGGTCGTTATTTTCTAGTCGATCAACTGCTACTGGTTCAATGTCGATATTGATTGGGAATTCCATAAAATCCTCGTACTTATAGTCGTGCCCAAATAAGTGTGTAAAAACGACATCTCGGCTTTTAATTAAAGTTTTGGTTTCTACATCATACAGCCTATAAGTTTTGGCATTGCTGCAGTATCCAACGAAAACATATTTCCTGGATTTCGAGCTGAACTTACACTTCGATCGTTTGTCCAGTGAGTACGCAATTTGACCAAACTTCTGCATATGCTTCACAACTGGAATGCGATTGTTCCACAGCTTGAAAGGCGTTTCTCCACATAGGCTTCTTGAAGGACATCTGTTTCTAATATAGTTAGCTGTGTTTACTGCTTCGACCCAGTCGCTCGCAGGCAGTGCAGCCTGTAACATGAGACAGCGAGCCATTTCTACAAGGATTCGGTTTTTGCGTTCGGCTGTACCGTTTTGATGAGGTGTGTATTCAACGGAATACTCTTGCTTTAGTCCTTGAGCTGCAAGGTAATTTTTGAACTCATTATTGGTGTATTCTGTGCCGTTATCTGACCTGATTGTTTTTAGCTTCTTTCCAGTTCGTCGTTCTGCGTAGTTCTTGAATTCTTAAAATTTTTGGAATACTTCAGATTTACTTTTGATAGTGTAGAGCTCGCACCATTTTGAGAAGTCATCTGTAAATGTCAGAAAATAACGGCTGCCTCCGTGGCTGTTTACACGCATACGTCGCTGTGGATTAACTGGTACAAGTCCAACTTGCGAGGAGCGGTAAAAACTAATTCTCCCCCTTTAGCTCTAACTACCTCAGCTTTCTCTTTCTTGAATATTACATTGAAGCCGTGATCACATATTTTTGAGACCGAAAAGAAATTGGTTCTTAAGTCCGGCACATAGAGTGCGTTTTTCAGGCTGGCAGTGAACTTGTTGTTTGGTGAGAACTGCACGGATCCACATCCTTTTATATCTGTGGCCTCATCATTTGCCAGTTTGAGCTTCGAGCCTTCTGCTGGCTCCAGGGTCTCGAACATATTTTTCTGTGAGCACATGTGTGACGTTGCTCCAGAGTCTAGACACCAGTTACTGCAATTTGTTTGTATAATTAGCTATGTTGGTGTACATGCATTCGCTCTGGTTCTTCATTGGCTTTGATCTGCACTCAGCTGCACGGTGACCGACTTTTCCGCAGCTGTAACATTTAAACTTAAACTTTTGATTAGTGCTTAGTTTTTTCGGCTTGCTGGGATTATACTTCTTGTGCACCAATTATGCTCCGGTCGTCGACTCGCTTGGATTTCTGTTTCTTGCCTCGTACTCGTCTAGTAACTAATTTTTAGTACTTCTGTTGATATTAAGTTTTTCTGAGTTTCAATTGCAATTCGAAACTTTTCGTACTCCTCTGGTATACTGTATAGTAGAAAGATGGTTAACAGATCGCCAATATTCAGGAGATTAACTTTGTTTATTTTGTCAACTAAATCGGAAAACTTATCTATGTGGCTTCTCATATCTCCGCCTGCATTCATTTTCAGTAAGATCAGCGATTTGAACAGTGCGGCTTTATGGGCTGGACCCGTAGACTGGTAAGTGTTGTGCAGCTCTATCCATATATCACTTGCAGTTTCGCAGTTCTTCGTATGCCTAAGTTCCGATGTTGACATGGCCAAAATGAGATCGGACTTAACCTTTGCATCTTCGTTTATCCTTTGTGCGAAATTATCTTTGGGTTTTAAAAGAGTCCCGTTGAAATATTTCCACGAGTCGTTTTTTATCAAAAGGGCCTGCATTTGTATTTTCCAGGTGTCGAAATTGTCTTTGCCCAAAGGCTCTATGCGTATACTATCAATACTCATTTTGCTTTTTGATCTGCGTTTAGTTTTGCTGCACAAGCTAACATTTCACGATGCTACACAAGTAACGAACACGCTTCTTTCCTCTGTTGCCAATAAGACGCCTTCTTTTGCGTCCCCAGAAGTCTCAGACTTTTACATGCACACGTGATGTGTAAGTTATCTTGTAGTCGGTTGCTCGGGTGTAAGGGTGCTCCAGATCCAGCCGATGATGAGGTGGTACCGGCAGGGTGCTTGATGAGTAGTAGTGGTTTAAGATAGGTGCGAATTGGCGGCCGGGCTGCTGGTCCCAGGTGGCTGCTGATGGTGTGCCATCGGTAGGGTGGCTGATGAAGTGTAAACTAAAGTTTATGTCGGGAGGGTGACTGCCCCCCTATACCCTTAAGCTCAGTGGGAAAGTGCAAATAATATGACGGCAATAGCCGGAGTAAAGTTTTACGGAGCTAAGTGCTCTTTATTGAAATGATTATAAAACAGAACTGAGGAACCAATGGGATCCAGGGACGGCCCCCAAAGGCGGGTATGCTGAGTCGGCATCTAGAACAGTAGGGGGCAAAACTAACACATGTTTAAAATTTGAGTGTAATTTAAAATTTTAAACATGTTTAAAAACAATGAGAGCAGAGAATTCACTGAGCGAAAGAAATGTCTTTTTTTATTTCATTTTTCGTTAATTTAAAAGTTGGAGTGGGCACTAAAATTGAGTATTTTATTTTAAAAAGAGCTTTGCTAGCAACATTTCTTAAACAAATGAAAAACTACGCTCTTCATGAAGAAAACTTTTTCCAACCCAATTTCTGAACAAAATTGTGGAAAAATCTCAGTGGAAACATTTTGATTTGCAATTGAGAAATGAGAGCAATTGAGAGAGCTTCTAAAAAAAAATTGAGAGTGCTCACACTGTCAGTGTGCCGACAGCGCTGCGGCAGAATTTCCTACCCTATACTCGCGTGCTATGTAAAATGAGAG